AATTGAGTTGAATCTATAGATTGCTTTGGGTAATATGGACATGTTAATGATGCTAGTTTTTCCTATCCATGAACATGGTATAAGCTTCCATTTACTTGTATCGTCCTCAGTTTCTTTCTTCAGTATCTTATAACTTTCTTAGTACAAGTCTTTTACCTCCATGGTTAAATGTATTCTTAGTTATGTCATTTTTGCTGTTGTTGCAATTGTAAATGGGATTATTTTCTTAGTTTCTTTTTCTTGGTAATTCATTATTGGTGTATAGAGATGTCACTGGTTTCTGATTATTAATTTTTCTGTCCTTTACTGAATTAATTTACCAGTTCCAGTAGATTTTTGGTGGAATCTTTAGGGTTGGTTCTCTATGTATAGTATCATGTCATCTGCAGATAATGACAGTTTTACTTCTCCCTTCACAATTCGGATGCCTTTTATTTCTTCTTGTCTGATTGCTGTGGCTAAGACTTCTAACTACTGTATTGAATTACAGTGGTGAAAGTGGACATCCCTGTCTCATTCTGATCTTAAGGGAGACACTCTGAGTTTTCCTAATTGAGTATTATATTAGCTCTGGGTTTGTTATATATGGATGGTCTTTACTATGTTGAGATATGTTCCCTCTGTTCCCATTTTGCTGAGAGTTATAAGTGGGTGCTGGATTTTATCAACTACTTTTCTTTGCATATATTGATATGATCATATGATTTTTACCCTTCATTTTGTTTATGTAATGTATCACTTTAATCAATTTCAGGATGCTGCACCACTCTTTCATCCTAAGAATAAATCCTACTTGATCATGGTGTATGATCTTTTTAATATATTGGTGAATTCTGTTTGCTAATTCTTTGTTGGGGATTTTAGCATCTATGTTCATTAGGAATATTGGCCTATAACTTTCTTTGTAGTGCGTTTATCTGGTTTTGGAATTAGGATATTGCTGGCCTTGTAAAATGAGCTTAGGAGTCTTCCCTATTCTTGAAATTTTTGTTATAGTTTAAAAAGGGTAGGGTGGTGTTCTTTGGATGTTTGGTAAGATTCATCTGTGAAACCATCTGGTCCAGGAGTTTTATTTGTTGGAAGTTTTTTTATTTCTGCCTTGATTTCATTGGTTGTAATGGATCTCAAGATTTTCTGTCCTTGATTCAGTTTTGGAAGATTGTATGTTTCTAGAAATTTACTCATTACTTCCAGATTGTCCAGTTTGTGGGCATATAGTTTTTAATATCTACTGATAGGCCTATATATTTCTGTGGTGTCAGTTATTCTCTTTCATTTCTGATTTTATTTATTTGGGTCATCTCTTTTTCTTGATGAGTTTGATTGAAGGTTTATCAGTCTTGTTTATTTTTTCAAAAACAGCTCTTTGTTTCATTGATCTTTTATACTGTTTTTTTTAACTCATTATTTCCACTCTGATCTTTATTTTTCCCCTCTTTCTACTCACTTTAGCCTTTTTTATTTTTCTAGTTCCTTTAGGTATAAGATTAGATTGTTAGAGATTTTTCTTGTTTCTTCAGGTATGCCTGTATTGCTATGAATTTCCCTATTAGAATTGGTTTCACGGTGTGCTATAGATTTTGGGTTGTGTACTTATTTTCATTTTTCTCAAGATCTCTTTTGATTGCTTTCTTGATCTCATTGTTAACCCATGCGTTGTTTAATAACATGTTATTTAGCTTCCATGTGTTTGTTTTTCTGGGGGTTTTTTCCCCCTTGTAGTTGATTTATAGTTTCATATCTTTGCATTTGGAGAAGATACTTGGTATGCTATCAGTCCTTTAAAATTTATTGAGATTTTGTTTTGTGCCCTAAGGTGGTTTATCCTGCACTATGTTCCATGTACAGTTGAAATGTATGTTCTGCTTTCAGGTGGAATGCTCTGAAAATATCAATTGAATTCATCTGGTCTAGTATTCCATTTAAGACCACTGTTTCTTTGTTATTTTGTGTCTGGAGGATATATCCATTGATGTTAGTGAGGTGTTAAAATCCCCTACTATTAAAAAAAAAAAAATCCCCAACTGTATTACTGTCGATCTCTCCTTATGTTGGGTGCATAAATTTTTGCAAGGGTTATATTCTCTTGTTGGATTGATTCCTTTATCATTATGTAATGTCCTTTTTGACTCTTAATAGCCTGTATTTTAAAGTCAATTTTGTCTGATATAAGTATTTTTACTCTGGCTTTATTTTCACTTTTTTAAAAAGATTTTATTTATTTATTTTTAGAGAGTGAGGGGAGAAAGAAAGAGGCAGAGAAACATCAATTTGTGAGAAAAACATCAATGAGTTGCCTCTTGGCCTGCAACCTAGGCACATGCCCTGACTGGGAATGAAACCATTTACCCTTTGTTTTGCAGGCTGACACTCAATCCACTTAGCCACACCAGCAAGGGGTATTTTCATTTTTATGTGTATGAAATATAATTTTTTATCTCTTTATTTACAGTCTTTGTGTTTTTCATTCTGAGGTGGGTCTGTTATAGACATGGTATGCTATATGGGCCTTGCTTTCTTATCCATTCAGCTACCCTGCGTCTTTTGATTGCACCATTTAATACATCTACATTGAAAACGATTCTTGATAAGTATATATCTATTGCCATTTTATTCTTTATATTTATGTTCCTCTTTTTTCTTAAAGAAGCCCCTTTAACATTTCTTGTTATACTGGTTTGGTGGTGATGAATTCTAGCTTTCTATTCTTGTCTGGGAAGCTCTTTTATTTTTCCTTCAGTTTTAAGTAATAGTCTTGCTGGGTAGAGTAGTTTTGGTTGTAGGATCTTGTTTTTCATCACTGAATATTTCATGCAAATTCTTTCTACAATGAAATGTTTCTGTTCAGAAATCAGCTGACAGTCTTATGGGAGCTTGTAGGTAACTAGCTTTCACTTGCTTTTAAATTTCTCTTTGTTTTTAACCTTTGCCATTTTAATAACAGGGTGTATTGGTGTGGGTCCCTTTGGGTTCATCTTGTTTGGAATTTTCTGCACTTCATGGACTTGAGTGTCTTTTTCCTGCAGGTTAGGGAAGTTTTCAGTCATTGTTTTTTCAAATAATTTTTCAGTCTTTTGCTTTCTCTCTTCTCCTGGAACCTCTATGATGTGGATGTTGTCCCAGAGGTCCTTTAGATTATCCTTATTTTTTTTAATATTTTTTTCTTTTTGCTGCCATGATTGGGTGTTTTCTACTACCTTATCTTTCAAATTGCTGTTTAGATCTTGTGCTTCATCCAACTTGCTGTTGATTTCTTCATTTCAGATAACTGTTCTTCATTTCTGACTGGTTCTCTTTTATAGTTTATTTTTTATGTCCTTTTTTATGCTTACTGTCTCTTTGTTGAGGGTCTCTCTGAGTTCATCCATTCTTTTCCTAAGTTTCTTGAGCATCCTTATAAACATTGTTTTGAACTTTGTATCTGGTGGATTGCTTGCATCAATTTAATTTAGTTTCCTTTTTCTGGGAATTTCTCCTATTCTGTTTGGGGCATTTTTTTTTTCTCCCTATCTTTACTGTCTATTTGTATTTGTTTCTGTGTATTAGGTAGATCCGTTGGTCTTGGTGTGGTGGCCTTATGTAGTAGGTGTCCTTTGGAGTTCATTGATGCAGTCTTCCTGATCACCTCAGCTAGGTGCTCCAGGAGTGTGCCTTGTGTGGGTTACATGAGCCCTACTTTTGTAGAGTCTTGATTGCTGTTGGCACGCCTGTGGGTGGGATTGTCCCTCAGGATGGCTGACTGTGAGCATTGATCCCAACCACAGTGTACAAGCTGCTGTGCTGGGTCTGACGCCATAAAGCAGAATTTGCCTCAGAAGGATGGGTTGCCTGCTTAGATCCCCCTTTGGGTGTACCACTTGTGGAGTTAATTGGGTCTCGCTCTGATGTGGTTGAAGCCTGCCACTGAGTGTATTGGTTCTGGGACCTTTGGGGAGGGACTGTAGTGCAGGTCAGTGTCAGATAGTGACTGTGAGTGGCTCTAGGCTACCTGTTTGGAGCTACAAAGTGATGCAGTTTGTGGCTGCTTCTGCTGGGCCTGAGTGCACACTGGAGAGGTAAGGTGCACCACGGCCAGCTTCTACCAGCACTGAGTCCTTGGGGCAGTTCAGCAAATGATTGAAGGCACCCCAAGATACGCCTCTGCCTAACTGCTTGGCTCAGTCACTGAAAGAGCCTCTGGCAAGATTTCCTGTTATTGTGACTGAATAATATTTTGTTGTGTGTGTATGCATATTTTTTAATGCTTTTTTTAGGTACCACGTTTAAGTGAGATCATACAGTATTTGTCTTTGTCTGCAATTATACTACAGTTTTGTAAAATGTTACCATTGGGGGAAACTGAGTAAACTGCACGCTGTATCACTGCATTATTTCCTACGACTCTATCTGACTTGACAATTGTCTCAAATAAAAATTTCAGTAAAAAGTTGGAAAAGGGAGGAATCTTTTCAGGATGGAGGATATAGATCTTTCAGAGCTTCACTGGACCTGCTGAGTTACCAGCTTTGATATTATAATTTTCAGGCAAGCATATACATTTCAGTTAGTCTCTGTTCTGAGCAGATTTAACTGTCGTTTTTATAGTTCATTTTCAGTACTGTTTACACTAAGTACTTTGTTTCTTCTGCCTTCACCTCTGTCATTTCCCACCAAGAATTATGATTCAAATGTTTTAAGTCCTTAAAATAAATGCTTTATTAAAAGAATGTCTGTTAAATAATAGGGATTTGCTGTGTAGATAAAACGGTTACATAGATTATATCACTGGTATTTTTCTCTGTCTGTACTATCAGTAAACATTTTTGCTCATGATCAGAAAATCCCTTATGTAAAACTTAATGTGCTTTTATTCAAAATATAAACCTACCATATATTATTAGTGTTGTTAAAATATCCCCCTTTCTTCCTTGATGATTTATTTTTTGGTAATTTTTTAGGGATTTGCATGTTTTCTTTTTAAAATCACCATTTTAATCAAAACTCTTATTTTTGTTTTCCAGAGCTAAAAGGTTTGGATCACTTTGCCTTTGATTTTTCTCTGTTTAAAGGTAATTTGCCTGTAGAATTCACTAGTCATACAGACTTAATACAATTTTCTGTTTGGGGTGGCAATCTATATTCGGTTGTTGAAATAGAAATTATGTCATATAATAGTTGAGCCTTTTATGTCTTTTTGTTGTCTTACAAAATGTATATGATTTATGCTATGGAAGTAAATATCAAAATAAATTCAAATATCACAATAAACTCAAACTACATTTCTACTTTATGCTCCACAGAATACATTTTTCAGAAATTTATGAAAAACCTTTGTCAGTTTGCCTGAAACTGTATTTTACTCATAGGTTGAAATATTGGAGCCATGGGAATAAAGGTTCAGCGTCCACGATGTTTTTTTGACATTGCCATTAATAATCAACCGGGTAAGAATATTAATTTTCCTATTTAACATTTATAAATAAGTATTTAATATTTTAAAGTGGTAAGGAAGTTTAAACCAATTACCTCTTTTTTTCTTTTTTTTTTTAAGCTGGAAGAGTTGTCTTTGAATTATTTTCTGATGTGTGCCCCAAAACATGCGAGAACTTTCGTTGTCTTTGTACAGGTTTGTAGACATTTTCTGTTGCCGTAGTAGTAGTAGTCCCATTTTTATTTAAACATATTTTAAATTTCTTTATGCATGTACCTTTTTTCTTTTAACATTCAGATTATGCATCGTTGACTAGGATATGAAAGTAATTCTTAGAAATATTAGTCATGATGGGATTTTATTTGACATTGATTTCTACACTCCCCAGGAAAATGTCTGATTTTTAAAATAAATTTTTAAAAAATTCTTGAGGAGAGTGAAAATTCTATCATTTAAAAATGTCTGTATGGTTCAAGAGAGGTATATTTTAGAGGGTGAAAGTTTTCATTAATTATGCTTTAATATACTTCCTTGATTTTCTTTTAAATGACCTACTCATTTTCCTTCTTTACAGGTGAAAAAGGGACAGGCAAATCAACTCAGAAGCCATTACACTATAAGAGTTGTCTCTTTCACAGAGTTGTCAAAGATTTTATGGTTCAGGGTGGTGACTTCAGTGAAGGTAAGACTTTGGTTCCCACAAAGAAAATTTTATATATTACTTGTTAAGTATCTCAAAATTAGACAAGTTTTAGAAGTACTATTCAGTTTTCTTCTCATCCCACTTAGTTTTTGCTATAACAATTAGAAACACTCATAGAAATAGATAAAAAGAAGGAAGCACAGGAAATAATTTCATGTTTGATGCATGAAATAATTTCAGAAATCTGCTTCTGTATACAAAATAGTATATTCATCTTTTAGTAACTTATCAGTATATGTGATTGTTTTTGTCACAGTCAGTAATCCTTAACTACAATAGAGTTTTTATCTATATTTTCACTATAAAAACACTGAAATTTTATTTTAAAGATACTTTGAAAAAATATCAGTAATTTCTGTTAAAAACCCTAATCGTTATTAGAATCTGACCTCTTGTTTGTTTGTTTGTTTGTTTGTTTTCATATATCTTAATAGACTTGGTCATATTCTTACTATTGTATCATAAGGGAAATAAAGTAATTTGGGATCTTGTCAGTATTGACTTTATGATTTGCTGTGAACCTTTGAGTGTTATTAATTGAAAGCTATCCAAGCACTAACTTTTTAAGAAACATTTTGTTTAGGTAGCACTTTCAAGGAGATTACTGTCTTGAGAGTTCTGAGTCTATGTTTTTCATTCCTAGGAAATGGACGAGGAGGGGAATCTATTTATGGAGGATTTTTTGAAGGTAAAAATACTTCCTTTTATTTTAAATTGTGGGGTTGTGGGAGTTTTGTTTTTTTTTTGTTCTGCCATTTAATCATTGTTTATTTTTCAGTAACAGTTGAAATACAATATTATATGAGTTTCAGGTGTATACCTCAGTGATTAGACATTATACAACTTGATAAGTGATCATTCCGATAAATCTCGTACCCATCTAACACTATACATAGTCATTAGAATGTAATTGACTATATCTCTTTTGCTAGACTTCGCATCCCCATGGCAGTCCTGTAACAACCAATTTGTGCTTCTTAATCCCTTCACCTTTTTCACCCTCCCCCAACCCCACTCTTATCTGCTGTCAAAATGTTCTCTATATGTATGTATGGGCAGTCTTCACCACCTCTTGTAGAAGCAGTATTAACATTCATTGCACCTCCAACAGCAATGCCTTCTGCAGCCATGGAAGTGGGTTATGGGTAGAGCTGAATCTTGAATGCACTCAAGACTGCCGCGACTCAACTGTGTGGTTGCAGGGAAGGAGCTGAATGATATATTCTTCATCCATTCATCTTATCAGTGGACATTAGGTTGTTTCTATATTTTGGTTATTGTAAATAATGCTGCAATGATCATAAGGGTGTGCATATATCTTTTTGAATTACTGTTTTTGTTTTCTTAGGATATATACCACAAGTGGAATTACTGGATTTTATGAAACCTCCATACTTTTTTTCATAGTGGTTGTACCAATTTATATCCCCACCAGCAGTGCACAAGGGTTCCCTTTTCTCCTCTTGTCATCTTTGTCAGTTGTTACTTGTTTTATGTTGTTGTTTTATTGATAATAGCCATTCAGACAGGTGTGATGTGATATCTCATTGTAGTTTTAATTTTTATTTCCCTGATTAGTGATGTAAAACATCTTCTCATTGGCCATCTGTATGTCTTGGAACAATGTCTATATAGGTCCTCTGCCCTTTTGGTAATCAGTCGTTTGGAGGAGAAGTGTGTGTGTCTGTGTGTGTGCGCTCACACATGCACACTAAGTTATTTGAGTTCCTCACATATTTCGGATATTGACTGTCAGATAATTAATTTACAGATGTTTTTCACTGAATGGTAGGCTGCCTGTTTGTTTGGTTGATGGTTTCCTTTGTTTTTGTAGTGCCAAAGCTTTTTAGTTTGACATAGTTTTATTTATTTTTGCTTTTATCCTTGACTGAGGACACAGATCCAAAAAAAATACTGCTATGACCACTGTCACAAGAGTTTACTGCCAATGTTTTCTTTTGGGAGTTTTATGGTTTCTGGTCTTAAATTTATTAATTCATTGAGTTTATTTTTCTATATTGTGTAAGTGGTCTGTCCAGTTTTTCCATCACCATTTATTGAAGACACATCTTTCTCATTGTATATTTCTATCTCCTTTTTCTATAATAAACTCTTAGAATTATAATGCTAAAACAGGAACTTCTGTAGCTCGATCTTAATCCTCTTATAATTCCTTTTTTAAAGCAATATGTATTTGACATATATTAATTTTAGTTGTATAGCATAGTGATATCACATTTAAATATCTTTAGAAATGATCACATTAAATCTAGTAACCATCTGTCACCATACCAAGTTATTACACTATTATTGACTATATTCCTTGTGCTCTACATTAAGTGACCATTTAAACGTGGGTTTATTTCTAGACTCTATTTTGTTCTATCTGTGTGTCTGTTTTTATGCCAGACCCATACTATTTTGATTACTACAGCTTTGCAGTATAGTTTGAAGTTGGGGAGCATGATAACTCCAGCTTTGTACTCAGTGTTGCTTTGGCTGCTTGGAGTCTTTTCTGATTCCATACAAATTTTAAGATTATTTGTTTTAGTCCTGTAAAAAAATGCCATTGGTATTTTCCATTGAATCTGTATATTGCTTTGGGCAGGAGACATTTTAACAATATTCTTCCAATACCTGAGCATAGTATATTTTTCTCTTTATTTGTGTCATGTTCAATTTCTTTGATCAGTGTTTTACAGTTTCAAAGTACAGGTCTTTCACTCCTTGGTTAAATTTATTCCAATGTATTCTGTGCTTTTTGAAGCAATTGTAAATGGGATTTTTTTTTTCCTGGTAATTCATTATTAGTGTATAGGAACAAGGCAGATTTTAGTATATAAATTTTTTTGTCTTTGGCTTTACTGAATGTATTTATTAGTTCTAATTGTTGGTTGGTTGGTGGAGCCTTTAAGCTCTACCATATATAGTATCATGTCATTTGCAAATTGTGAGTTTTACTTCTGTACCAATTGGGATGCTTTGTATTTGTTTTCTTGCCTAATTGCTGTGGCCAGCACCTCCAACATTATGTTGAATAAAAGTGGCAAGAGTGGGCATCCTTGTCTTGTTCCTGATCTTAGTGGGAAAGCTTTCAACTTTTTTACCATTGAGTATGATGTTAGCTGTGGTTTTGTCACACATGACCTTTATTATATTGAGGTATGTTCCCTCTCTGTCCACTGTGTTTAAGAGTTTTTTTTATCATAAATGGATATTGAATAATCTTAATCTTTATTAAAGGAGATTCAGCAGTATTTCTTAATAACTACATTTTTAGTGGGTCCATTTTTCTATGGTGATTTTTTTAAAACTTTGATATTCTAAAATTTAGCTATAGTTTTTCCCAAATTTAAGTTTTCTCATTGGAATTTTGATATAAAGATCACTTGAAAGACTATAAACATATGAATGTGGAAATACTTCATGTTTCCCATCTTTCACCTTTGGGAGTCAATGAATTTTGTTTCAAATTTCACTTGCTTAGTTCTTATCCTAATCCAAGAGTAGAATGCAAGCTGCTCTCTTTGCAATAAGTGATGCTGTGGCAGAGATTAAGTTAATGAGTGTCTGTGCTCAGAATAATAAATGCCCTTTTGTGTTCAGAAATGAAATAAACGGTGCTCTCTTTGGCAGCATATATACTAAAATCGTAGTGATACAGAGAAGATTAGCATGGCCCCTGCTCAAGGATGACATGCAAATTTGTGAAGCAAATTTTTTAATTCTGTATTTTTAATTCTCTTTCAAAAGAAAAGGAAAAATGAAATATAAAAGAATGCTATCTGGATTCTTTCTCTTGCTTTTTAGGGGAGTTTTTCTTTTTTTTCAAATAAGCAAAGAAAGTTGTATTGTTTTTTCTAAAAGAAATGTAAAGAACAGATATAAATGAAAAGAAAGGGGGTTGATGCCTAGGTATTGAAAATTAGAACTATTTTAATCTAAAAAGATGGAGGAGGGAATTGGTTAATATTTGATTCTTCTTTTAATCTGACTTTTATATAAATTTTGTCTGGCAGTAAAGAACACATGCTATGAACATAAGATATAAAGAGGAGTCAAAATGGTTTTGGGGGCTACTTTATGCCTTTTTATATAACTGAAAGCTTTGCTTCTCTATAGATGAGAGTTTTGCTGTCAAGCACAACAAGGAATTTCTCTTATCAATGGCCAACAGAGGAAAGGATACAAATGGTTCACAGTTTTTCATGTAAGTTTTTATAATCTGATGGCTTAAAACATTCTTCTTTTGGTGTGTCTTTCTCTGTGTGCATGGCTTTGATCCCTAATAAATAGAGGAGGGATCCTTAAGGGGGAGAATTTTTGAAGGAGAGAGAACAAAGAATTGTTGAAAAAGGGAATATTTATTGAAAGGGGAGTTGAACTGTAGTGCTGAAGTTTACAAATGATGAAAACTGGTCAAGAAGACACCAGAGCCAGCTTGAAGGGGTGGTGTTCCCACTGGTCGTAGTAGGACAGTTTGACCATCAAAGTAATGGTAGTATCAGATTATTAAATAAAACAGAAATCCAGGAGCCCGTATAGATACAAAAAATAAGTGAGTAATGGGAAAAACAAAAGCTGTTTCATAGTAGAATGTCAGGTCATAAATGTAAAAGGAATGCTGGAGTAGGAAAATCACCATTTTGCATTTATTTCAGTAATAATTGATTCATGAAGGAGTTATCTATAGGTGGTAAATTTAGAGGGCATATGTAGTAAGGAACAGGGTATTTACATACAGTGTGTCTTCATAAATTACTTAATTACAAAGAGTTAAATACAATCGATCCTCATTATTTAAAGATTCTGTATTTGTGAATTTGCCTACTCACTAAAATATATTTGTAACCCCAGAGTCAATACTGCTGATGTTTTCCAATTCTGACTACAAAATATTTGTGACCAGGGCTCTTATCAGCAATGCATATTTTTTTTATCATGTCCTGTGGGTACAGATTTGCTTTCTCTTCCAAGAGCCTTAAACTCTCCTGGTCTTGGAAGAACTTAATCTGTCGGCACCAGTGTATTCTAGTGTTCTCTATTTTATATTTGTAAGTCTCTTCTTCAACAGTGAAAAATCTGACTCCCATTATCCTATGTAGTTAAAATACCATGTTTAAAACTTACTCGAATTATTATTTTTGGTGTGAATTTTATGTAGTTTCATGACTCGAAACGTGTTAGGTTCATTTGTTTCTGGTTATATTTCATTTTGTTCTCCCTTTTACCATGTTGTTTTTTTTTTAGTTTATAAAACATTAACATGATTCCAAAAGTCAAAACAAAAAGAATTCCCTTGAAGTATCACTTTCACCTAACTCATCATTCCATTTCCCTATTTTTTCACCCCATTTCCATCCATTCATACTAGTAACCAACCTCATTAGTTTCTGTTTTATCTTCCTGTATTCCTTTTTTTCAAGCATAAGCACAGATATATATGTATTTTGTTATTTTCCCTTTTTTCTTATGCAGTGTATAACAGTGTACTTAACAGTGTATCCTGGAAATCACTCCATATCAGTTCATAGATATCTTTCTCTTTTTGCAGCTGTGTACTCTTATTATATGTATGCAGTGTGAAATAAAAGTAGGTTTACAGTTTGTAAGGAAAATGATACAATAATTCATAAGTAATAAAACAATAAACTGTTACTTGTACTCACAACTGTAAACCTACTTTTGCCCCACTTGTATACTGTAAAATATGGGTCTATATGATTTTTTTAATTGTAAACAACTTTATCATGTTTGTTGTCAAAAAATTAGATCACACAAATAAAAAAGACAACAATCCCATCCCCAGAGCATCTTTCTAATAAAAATGTATGAAGAGTGTTGCATATACTCTGTAATCAACTTTCAGATATAAATCTCTTTGCATGTCACTAAATATTAATTAACATTTTAATAGCTACATGTTAATCCATTGTTTAAATGTACTGTGCTTTATTTACATAATTGACCTAATTTTTGAACATTTGGTTTGATTTCCTTTTTTCAGATTGCTGCAGTGAACATTGTACCTATTATTTAATGCATTTTTATTATTCTTTTATATAAGTTGCTAGAAGTTTACTTACTGAAATATTTATACCTTTTTAAGTCTTTCCGTGTTTATTGCTGTATTGACTTCAAAAAAGAAGTATATTTTACTTACTAGCAGTAAATGCCAATTTTCCCTGATCTTTAACACTGTTATCATTAATTTTTCTTTTTTAGGTAAAATTCTCCCTGTGCTAACCAAAGTCCCTATGTTAAGTTCACATAATCTTGCAAGTATATTCTCTGAATCTTCCCTCCCTGTGTTGATTTCTCCTTACCTCTTTCCATTTCTAGATAACCCTTCTTTACTTCTGTATTCTGTTTTTTGAAAAGAAACAACTTCATTTTTTAATTAAAATCATTTTAAATCTTGGTAACATAAAATTTGCCATTGTAATCATTTGTAAGTGTATGATTCCATGGTACTATAGTTATAGTGCTGTGTAACTATCACCACTGTTTCCAAAACTATTTCATTATCCCAGAGACTAACTGGGGGGAAATGCCCTGCCTGTTATCGGGGACTGTAGCCCTGCATGAGCAAGGTCTGACCTATAAGTCTCAACTGGAAGACCAGGAGTGCTGGCCAGCAAGCATGAACTGATGCAGGCACAGGTGGGCCCCCCCTCCCACCCCCCCGCCCCAGCTGGGAAATCAGGCCTGAAGAAAAATAATGTATTATTTCTTTTGAAGCCTGTCCTGCTAAGAATAATGTCTTCTAGGTAATCAAGTTAACGTACACTGGATGTTTAGTTTCCAAGCACAAGATTGTCCTGATCACCTAGCGTCATGCTGTCTAATAGACCCTGATTTAAAGAGACCCGTATGTTCTTGCAGTTATTACTTCTGAACAATATCTATTCTTTGATCAACACTAAGTGACATTGATTGATGAGCTGTTACGTGCATGCCATGTACTCCCTTACCTGCTGAACTCAGTAAAAGCGTAGGGAAAAAGGAGATCAGGGCCCTTCTCCTCTGAGGGATTGGCCAGCCTTTTCTCCCGACACAGATTGTGTGTTGGAGATTTATTTCATCTGCGGCTCCAGGGTACTTTGCAGGTCAAGGTCCCCCCACAACTAACCATTTCCCTTTGTCTCCAGCCTCTGATAACCTCTATTATACTTTCTGTCTCTATGAATTTTCCTATCCTAGTTATGTAACTGGAATCATACAATTATTTGTCCTTTTGTGTCTGGATTATTTCACTTAGCACATTTTCAAGGTTCATGCATATTGTAGCATATATCAAAACTTCATTCTTTTTATGGCTGAATGTCACTACACTATACATACCACATTGTACCTATATTCATCTCTTGATGGGAATTGGGTTGTTTGTGCCTTTTGATTTTTATGAATTGTCTTGCTTACGACATTGGCATACATACATTTGTTTGAGTCCCTGTTTTCAATTCTTTTGGATATATACCTAGGCACTGAACTGCTGGATCATGTGGTTATCGTTCAGCTTTTTCAGAAGCCGTCAAAATGTTTTCCACAGTGGTTGCGTCATTTTATGTTTCCACCAGCACTGTACAAGCGTACCCGTGCATTTTCCCATGTCCTCATCATACTTTTTTACCACTCTGAGAATAATAATGAAAATACTGTGAAATTGCTCTAGGGATTACAAATAAATGCTGTTGAGCATGTGAACTTGCAAATATGGAATCTGTGTAGTGAGGATTGAATATATCTAGATGCAAATTATATATATGTGTATGTATATACTGAAAATAATGTAATACAAGTACATATCTGGTGTACACCTAGGTTTTTACTTTTCTAGGTGCTTTTAGCAAGTATAAGTAAACATAGCTGTTACAGTAAGAAAACAATAGGTTATTTTTAAAATGAACTTGTAAAAATATATGTGTGTGTTCATTAGATTTTTTTTTTAAGTAGTGTGTGTGCTTTAACCAAAGGTTAGTTTAAATTATGTTTCTTCTTCAAAATTTCTAATGTTGTCTTTGATAAAGTTTTTTAAAAATAATAAATTTTATACAATGCTTATCTTCGATTTATTGTACCTGTATGTCCCAGTAGCTAGCTACTCAAGTAGCAGCCTTCTTCATGACAAAGCTTTAGGGTTGATATGGAGAAAGAAAACATTTCAAAAAATTATTTCATTTGCAAACAGGGACTTTTACTTTCTTGGGATTTTCTCCAAAGTTTTAATCAAGATCTTTTTCTTCAGCATAAAGTTTACTTTATGTCAGTGATAACAAACTCCAAGGGCTACAGGTCTCAGGCAAGTAACATAAGTAAAGACTGTTGGGACAAGAAACTAAACTGTTAATCTCTATATTAAAGAAGACAGAGATTCTCAGGCTGGCCAATTATTTACATGTACTGGCTGCCACATCTTCCAGGTTTCCAAAAGGTCTGTAATCTGGATTTTTACATAAAAGTATCCAAAAGTTTAAACGTGTTGGCAGGTAATTTAACAATTCACAAATACTGTATGGATTAACTCTGTTCAGGTTCAACAGAAAATGTGTGAGGGCCATCAGAAGATGATCTGTGCTTTTAACTGTATAAAATACTAAGATTAAAAACGTTGTTGTTAAATCTATAAACTAGTGGAATGGTTTGACAACTTCTAGCATGTCCAGACTGTGGAACTTTATACAGCCATGAGTATTCAGTAAGAACTCAGTCATATGCAAGAAACATGGATGGCTAGAAATAACACCAAAATATTAACTTTAAATGCATAGAAATTTCCAACAATGTTTAGGTATTAACTTTTATATAAAGCTGAAGTTTTTGAAAATTCATTATGTGGAAAGCATCTTGCATTCTGTTTTACTTAAGGTTAATGTAATAAAAGTCTATTATATTAATATATGATTTGTTTGCAACTTTGTTTCCAATGCAGTTATTTTCTTTTCCTTTTTAGAGATGCTAACTTTGTTTTTTTCTGACTTTGTTTTTATCCTTCTGTCTGATGATTTCCAAAAGAACAACGAAACCAACTCCTCATTTAGATGGGTAAAGATTATTTTAATTAATTTTATACCTACTTTAAGTTGATATTAATATAAGAAGCTTTTATTTAATTAATTTTACTTGACTGTTTTAGGCATCATGTTGTTTTTGGGCAAGTAATTTCTGGTCAAGAAGTTGTAAGGGAGATAGAAAACCAGAAAACAGATGCAGCTAGCAAACCATTTGCTGAGGTGCGGATACTCAGTTGTGGAGAGCTAATTCCCAAATCTAAAGGTAAGAAATAAGTACATATTTCTGATAATTCTTATGCATACAAAACAAGCAGACACTCTAAATAGTTGACTTATGATTCACACTGAAGTGAATATAAATAAGAGGTTTTTGTGTTTTGAATATATTCTTGTGTTTTTTAAATGTGTTTTGTCTTCATGCTCTCATTTACCATGGAACCACTTAACTTACTATTATTAGTTTGCAGTAATTTGTCCTTCTGCTTTTACCTTTTTTTAAAAAAACTCAGTTGTCTAAACAGAATGGAAAATAGATTCTTTTCTAAGGAAAGAGACTGTGTAACGAAGATGACAATTGAAGAGAATAACATAGACTAGGAAACTTTAGGGGAATAAATTATTTCCCCTTCATGAATTGCATGTGATATGTTTATGTAACTACTATATTTATTACAGATAATTGAGTATGACACTCTAAAATAATGGGATTACTTTAAAAATTGTATAGAAAGCAATAAAATATTGAATTAGCTCTTCTTTCCGTTCTTTCCTAGTTTAGGGACCAATAACATCAATACTTAGTTTTTCATGATTAACAAAGGTGAGAGTCATCTGTAATGTTCTGTGATCCTTACAGTAGCCCTATAACATTATTTCCCTTATTTTATAGATGAAGATATATTTACCACATCAGGGAACGAGGTCTCACACCCAAGTATGCTGGCCTCAGATCTAGAGCTCTTACTGTTATGTTGCTAATTCATTGTTCTTTAACATTTCTTTCCCTATTGCTCTAAGTAGAACATTCTGATCTCCAGTTTTAGGTATACTGATTTCCTCTGTAACATTTAGAAATATGCACATTTTGTTCTGTTTTAATTTTAAAAGACCCAAGGTAGAGAAGTCTTACATTTGATTTTTTTGTCTCTGCATTCCATTTTGATTCTGATGATTTCCTTTTCTTCTCTGTCATATCAAATATGTACCTCATAAACCATGGCAGAGCCCTGGCTTGTGTCTTTCAGTAGATTGAATGCTGGCCTGCAAACCAAAGAGTTGCCAGTCAGGACAGGTGCCTGGCTTGTGGGCCAGGTCCGCAGTAGGGGGCATGAAAGGGGCAGCTACATGTTGATGTTTCTCTCCCTCTCTTTCTCCCTTCTTTCCTCTCTCTTAAAAATAAATAAAAATCTTTAAAAAAGAAACTACTGCAGAAATATGCTGCAGCTCATAGTGGGACTGTGTATATAACTTCTTGGCATTCATGACTCTGGCTGTTCCTTATTTGCAAACAACAGGTTTAATGCATGCCTTGTGTTTGTGAAGATTCAATAAAGAATGAGGTGTTGCTGAGTATCTTAAATTTGTAAAAAAAAAAAAAAAAAAATTTCAATTTATTTTTTAATTACAGTTAATATATGAGCTTCAGGAATATAACATGGTGATAAGACATTCATAACCTTAATTATTGTTTTAAAAAGAAAAAACTAAAAAGCTATCTATATTAATGTGTGCAGATTTTAGAACCTGAACATACTGATACTTAAGCCTTCAGAGTGTTGTTTGTACAACTGGAATATTTCGTTTTAAGATAATATTTTTTCCTATATCATCTAGGAAATCTTCATCTTTTATTCTCTGCTGGCAACTGGTTTTCTTCCTCCTGCTCACATTTTGTAGTCTTTAAAGTATCTATGCTATGATCCATTCTCTGCTTATAAAAGTTAAGAATGTTACTCTGGCCCAGTGGTCCAGTGGTTGGAGCATTGTTCCATACTCCAAGAGATTGTGGGATTTGATTTCCTGTTGGCGTGTGTCCAGGAAGCAACTGATTGATGTTTCTCTCTCTCACATCTGTGTGTGTGCGCGCGCATGTGTGTGCCTCTCTCTCTCCCTAAAATCATTAAAGCCATCCTCAGGTGAAGACTAAAACCAAATTAAAAAGTTAATGCTTTGTGGTTTACTTAGAAGGATATTGAGGTAATAAAACAAAGCTTATATTTTAAACCATAAACAGTTATCATAGACACTCTGGTAATTTAGGTGTAAAGATTATTTTGGTATTAAAAGGTTAGTGTTTGAATATTTCCTGAAAGGATGAGAATTTTAATGAATGCCACTCTATTATTTATACCCTTATTTTCACCTGAAGAGAGAAATGGTAATTTTGCCCATGGTGTTCTGGCCAGGAAGTTCTACTAAAAGTTGATATGGTGTCTCAGTGTGTGTTCCTCAAATTCATGTTAAGGAACCATACCTTGCCCTTATCAGTTTCAGCAGTTGAGGAAAATTTGCCCTTTATTAGGGTCTGCTCAGTAGTTCCTGAAGAGGTCAGATTTGTTTCTAGCCATACCTCCCATGCCTATGATTCAGGATAACACTGTGGAAAAGTAGAAAACATCTTCGTTTGAGGTCACACAGTTTGGCACCTGTGATTTATAGACCTTCAATTACCATTCATAACATTGGTCAGAGTGGACTTTGTCATACATCTATGTAAATCTTTTTTTAAGGCAGAGCTGTGTCTTACATTTAGTTTTTAAGTTTCATGGCCTCCTTACAATTTTAAATTGGGAATAGTCAGAAAGCTTACATTTAAAACCTTGTTTGAGAGATTAATACCCCAGTTTAAAAAGAAATAAATGCAGAATCTTTTTTTTTCCTTTTTCTAACTTCCTGAAAGAAAACAAAAAGACTTCTGAAGAAATCTGACTGTCTGGGCCCACCTCAAATTGGTCTTGGTGAGTCTGGACAATCTTCTTGGGCCTTTCTCCCTTTTGCTGTTGCAAGATTGGCAGTTCTGCTTTTTGTGGCTATTTGAATGTACTTGAGAAGGTTCAGATTCAAAGAGAAGAACCTTCCTACAGATGCTGAGGTAGAACACTGGAGGCTAATAAAAACTATATCCCTGAGGCTTTCAAGGGGCATAGTGGAGCGTAGAACACAGAGCTCCAGAGAATGATACCGCTACCTAGATTAAAGTAGTTCCTATATTTTCAGGAGTTGGCATGACCTCAAGGAATGCTGGTATCTTCAGAGTTCAGTTACTAAGAGATGCCTGTCCACCATCTCTGCAACAAGAGACGGAGTCATTGCTATATTACAGAGTACACAGTAACACTAGTTCAGAATTGTGGCAACATGGCAATAAATAAATAGTTATGTGAGCAGAAATTTTGCACATGTGTGGTAGGAAACAGATTGCTTGACAGGTAGTACAGAAAGAAGAACACAGTAGAGGACGCAGTTAGTGAATCTTGTACTTGGGAGACATTGGAGAACACCAGAGACTCGTTTCTATCTTGTCTGAGACCCATTTCAGTGTCCTTACTAAGAGATTGAGTTGTGATGGTACTTTTACTAGAAAATAGTAAGAAATTGTTTAAAAGAGGAGACCAGAACTGTGGAATGGAAATCCTAAAGGAGACCTATTTTAGGAATACTTCTGTTCTTTATTTCAAAATTTATTTTCATAATGTCCCAGAAATTTTCATTATAAAGATTTCATATGAAATATATTGGTGTATGTCCTGGCCAATGTGTCTCTGCTGGTCAGGCATTGCCCCACAAACCTAAAAGTCTTCAGGTTTGCTTCCCAGTCAGGGCACATGCTTAGGTTGCGGGTTCAGTCCTCAGTCAGGGCACCTATGAGAGGCCACCAATTAATGTTTCTTGCACCAATGTTTCTCACCCTTTCTTTCTCCCTCCCTTCCCCTCTCTCTAAAATTAGTGAGCCTGTCCTTGGGTAAGGATAAAAAAGAAAAAGAAATCCATTGATATAAAATCTATAGATCTCAACTAAAAATGTTAGGCAGCATTTTCTTTTTTTTTAATTTATTTTGAATTTATTGAGGCTAGATTGGCTAGTAAAAATATATTGGTTTGAGGCAGTATTTTCTTACCTTAGATTTTTACAAGTAAAATGTTCTGGAGTTGGTTTATTTTTAGTAAAGTCAATACCTAATAGGATTGAACCACATCCTATCCTAGCTTCCCCTCAAAGGGGAAGTGAACAGGTTTGGGAAATTATTTTACGTAGTGATAAGCAAACTACATAATTCTAAACTAACCATAAATGGCCCAAGAATTGATAGTATTACTGTTTATAATTCCTTTTCATCCATTTTAATGTGCATTGAGGTTTTGCTTTTAGTACTGTTTCATTTTGCCTTAAGGATACTTAGGGTTGTAAGATACTTTGAAATAGATTTTGTATAAGAGGCTAGGCAGAGGAGGAGAGAGGGTTGGAGGAAGGGATGGGAATAGTTGTCATACATGGAAGTTTTAAAATTTGTATTTTTAATTTTAATATATTCATTTGGTTCAAAATTTAAGAAGCATAAAAGGAGTCAGTAAAAATTCTTCCCATCTCTCTCCATCAGTTCCCATTTCCAAATTTTGTACATTATTCTACATGTATGTGAATGTTGATTATGTTAAGATAAATTTTTAGAAATGGAATTAACAGATTATAAATCATGCATTTTTAATGTTAGTAGCCATTGCTACTAGAATATAGGAAAATAAATTTATACCCTTTGCAGAGCCACATATAAACTTGTTAATCTTTGCCAACCTAATAGGTTTTTTTAAAAGCTAGTTTTAATCTGGTGATTATTGTTAGCATTTCTCAGAAACATTTATAACTATTTTTGTATTAGTTTATTGCTAATTGCTGCCCTCTGCCCCCATTTTTACTCATTCTGTTGTTCTTCCTTTCTGAAATTTCAGTCCTTCTGTTATTTCTTTTCTATTTGGAAAACTTTCTTTAGCTACTTTTTAAGGGTAGGTAGGTCTGCTGGTAACAAATTATCTTAGCTTTATGAAAAAGTCTTTATTTAGTTTTCATTTGATGGATATTTTCACTGTGTATAAGAATCGGGGTTGATTATTCAGCACATGAAGAAGCATTATGCCACTTTCTTCTGGACTTTCTGGTTTCAGAGGAGAGGTCTTTTGTCTTCCAAATCATTGTTCCCTTTTAGATAACTTACTGTTTCTCTGTGCTTTGCATATATATATTTTTTGTCTTTAGTTTTCAGAAAC